TTGGGGGGGGTATGGGGGTGTTGGTGAGGTTATTGGGGGTCCTGGACCCAAAAAAAATAAAAAAATAAAAGGGATAACTTCAGTAGAGTCACAAAAACGAGTTATAATTGCACTATGGGGCAAGATACAGTTTGCAATTGCGTTTCGGGCACCCTACCTGTCCAGAAAGCTGGGTTGTATACATTGCCCGAACTGCAATTGCAAATTATATCCTGGCCCATACTGCAATTCTAACTCGTTTTTGTGACTCCTTTCCCCAAACAAAAAATAAAAAATGAAAAATTTTGTTTTTGCGGGGTACCGGCGACCCCCGACCGGTAGGTGCCGACCAGCCGACCGGTTGGCTGGTCGGCATTGACTGGTCACCGACCGTCGGGGTATGCAACACTGGCCGAGAGCATTTACGACCAGATACACCTATAATGGCAACGGTGGCTTAGAAAACATGAATCTGGTTTGAAAAATGGCCAGGTTCCCGTGACCATTTTGGTCCAGACATATGCCTATAATGGTTATGCGCCTATGCCTTATGTTGCAGGTATGATAGCAGTGATGAGGATCCACCAGGATTTGAACTCCTGATCTGTGGCTCATCGACAACTTTTTTTTTTTTTTTTTTTTTGGTCAGCGACTCAGCAACAGTTACATGTGTGTAGTATGGTGTGCCATTCAGGTGGGCTGAATGGTACCCCCTGTCGTTATTTTTATTTTATTATTATATTATAATAATATATATTAAATACATACCTTTAAAATTTTAAATATTTTGGTACACCCTGTCTAAAATGTTGCCTCAACAATCTATTGCAATGAACCTGGGTTCACAAGGATTGAGGGAAAGAGAAAAAAAAGAAAAAAAAGGGGGAAGATGAGGGGGGGAGGGTTGAAAATTAGACAAGAGATATTGTTATCCTGTCCAATTTTTTCGAAGCGCAAAATTCACGAGAAGGCACAATGCCGTTCTCTTGCAAAAGAAATGAATGACCTTGAGAGGAGAGAGAGGGAGAGAAGGAGAAGAAGAAGAAGAAGAAGATGTACACCCGCAAAAGACCAATGACAATCTCCCCTTTTCTCTCGCCAACCAACTCCTCCTCCTTATCGGCTCCGCTCTTATTCAAACAATGATAACAATAACGATGAAAGGCTGAACCAGAATCAAAGTCCCGAATCCCTCTCCTACTGCTTGGCATCAACAGAGGTCCACCATAGCCATGGCCTCCTTCTTCCTCCTCTGCAACCCGGCCGAGGCTATGGCGGACTACTAAGGGCCTAGCCCTGCTGTGCAAAAGACGACGCAAAGCAGCTATGTCCGCTGCTGCTACTCATGCCGCCATGCCTGACTTCTGCCTTGAAGCCTTCTTGGTGTGGCTCAACCCCAACTGGGGACTTCCAGATGCAGCACCTAACAAGGTGATGAAGATGGCATCCACCATAGCCAGGTAAGTACCTGGCCACCCGCCTCCCTAGTCCCCTTCTTCCTTCTCCTCCTACTGGTAGAGCTCCACCATAGCCGAGGTGGAAGCTCCCGGTCTTCTTCCTCCTCCCAGCGCTGCTGCTACCAGCGCTCTTCTTCCAGCAGTACCAAGAATGCTGGCGCTCGCTCAAGCACCATGTCGCCCAAACTTGCATACCACAAATGAGGTAGAGCCCAGCGCTCTACCTGGAGATATAGCGGCCTGCTTGCCTCTTGGCGAGCGACTTCCCAGGCCGCGCAGCCTCCAAGCAACCGGTACCTCCTCCCTTTCGGAGGGAAACATCATTGCAGGCTCTGATATCGTCCGCACAGGCCCTAGACTGAGGCTACTTGGACTGGTACCTACCCGCCTAGACCTAGCCTACCAGCTACTGGGTCTCTAACAATGCCAACTTTTTGTCTTCTTCTGCTCAGCCTCCAGTTCCCGATTCATCTACCGGAGTGGTACCGGCCTACCTGATACTTGAGTGTTTTTCCCTGCTGCTCTAAGTGTCGCGGGCCTACTCTCGCTACTTGAGTGTTTTCCCCGCTGCAACCCTCAATGTCACGGCCACGGTTAAGTACGGCCCCTGCGGGCCCTTCAAACAAACAAGTGCCCTTGCGGGTCAAACACACACTCAGGCCCACAAGCACTCAGCCAGTCTTACATCTTCGACGCCACACGGGTCCTACGGACTCGACTTAGGGTTAGAGGGACACAGTAGGGCCTAAAGGCCCGACCTTGGGGGTACTACAGGCTGTAAAGGCCTCACTTTGGACCAGACCCGACGGGCAGGCCCAAACGACATTACCGTTTGGGCCTGGCGGCGCTCTTGAGGCTGCTGCCCGCCGGTTGGGGCTGAACCGTCCATCTTGACGGTTCAGGGCACGGCCAGGCCTCGCAGCATTGAGGCCGGCCTCTGCCCCACCGGTACAAAAGTACCGGTCCAGCCTCATTCAGGCTATCGACCCACCGGCACTCTAACGGTGCGGTATGGTACGGCGCGAACAGCGCTGGCGCTATACTTAGCGCAGGAGCACGAGGAGCGGCAGCGGCAGCGGCAGCGGTAGCGCAGCAGCGGCAGCGAGCAGAGCAGCAGCAGTGGCAACTGAGCAGGATCAGCGGCCATAGCCGCCTGAGGTATCGGGAGTCGGAGGTTCTCTCCTCCCTCCCCTCGCCAGTCCCCTCTCTCTCTCTCTCCTCCTCGGCTCCCTTCTTCCTCTTCTTCTTCTTCTCTTCAGACTCCATCTTCTTCTTCTTCTTCTTCTTCTTCAGACTGGAGACTTATACTAGTTGGACAGAGATCAGAGTTGGACTTCGGTGGTAAGAGGCTGTGGTACTTACCGGGTTCGAGACTTGGAGATTGTTGGGGATGATACTCGGCTGCNGCACGGCCAGGCCTCGCAGCATTGAGGCCGGCCTCTGCCCCACCGGTACAAAAGTACCGGTCCAGCCTCATTCAGGCTATCGACCCACCGGCACTCTAACGGTGCGGTATGGTACGACGCGAACAGCGCTGGCGCTATACTTAGCGCAGGAGCACGAGGAGCGGCAGCGGCAGCGGTAGCGCAGCAGCGGCAGCGAGCAGAGCAGCAGCAGTGGCGACTGAGCAGGATCAGCGGCCATAGCCGCCTGAGGTATCGGGAGTCGGAGGTTCTCTCCTCCCTCCCCTCGCCAGTCCCCTCTCTCTCTCTCTCTCCTCCTCGGCTCCCTTCTTCTTCTTCTTCTTCTCTTCAGACTCCATTTTCTTCTTCTTCTTCTTCTTCTTCTTCTTCTTCTTCTTCTTCTTCTTCTTCTTCTTCTTCAGACTGGAGACTTATACTAGTTGGACAGAGATCAGAGTTGGACTTCGGTGGTAAGAGGCTGTGGTACTTACCGGGTTCGAGACTTGGAGATTGTTGGGGATGATACTCGGCTGCRTCACAGATTTGACACCGGTTACATTAGGACTCTGKATCTCCGACATTGGTGACTTATTGTCCTCGACATTTAGATCTTGTTCGATGACRTTTTGGATTACCATATCGGTGACCTACTGGTTTCTATCTCGGTGACATTTGGTGCTACCTMCATCTCCCACCTCCTTCGTCTCTCCTCCCACCTTCATCTGTGCATGTGTGTACGGRGCTGAGCATCGTCCATGTATGGCTCAGACCCCACCATCTCACGATTGTATGTGTGTGGAGTGATATCTATGCGAGTCAGTCTATGTGAGTCAGTCCGTTTATCAGACTTCCGCTGCATATATGCTCATCCTACATCGGTTGATCTTTGGTTCTGCCCATACTCGTTGAAGTATGTAACAGTTTTGGTATCGGAGCAGACCATTTCACGGATCTGCTCACCAGGTAAGTCTGATTAGGAAGTAGATTGCTTTTTCAAGCGTCCAAATCAGCTCTGAATTACTATCGAGTTCAAAGTTGCAAATTTTTTTTCTTTTTTCGGTATTCTGTTTATTTCGACATTTCCCGTTCAAATAGGTATTCGGACTTGTAATTCGGATTTCTGTTTTACAACGGTATGCTGTTTAATTCGAGTTCCGATAAATTGATACTAATCCGACGTTCTGTTTAAATTCGGGTTTCTGATTAGTGATTCACGATTAGGTTGAAATCAGTACTCTGTCTAATTCGGCATTCTGATTTTCATTTCAGTTTCCGTTTTTATAATTCAGCATTCTGATTTTAATCCTGTATTTCGTTTGCAAAGTCGGCATTTCCGTTTTTATTGCAGAATTGGAAATTAGGGTTACGATTTTTTTTGGTTTTCAACCAACTTGGGGAATTCGAACGTTTTGGGACCGTAAATCCGGAAATTCCGCCGAATCGCGGAAAATTA